GTTGCCCAAACTCATGCTACATGTGATGCTCAACCAGCCAGTTTTGTAAGCTTAAACAACACATTTCATCTGTGCTACTTGAATCTTGGGGTCACTCAGGGGTGCTTGTGTCTGGGTTACAGCACTGTCCGAATTTCATACTTTTACAGTAAGCCAAACAAGAATCACGTGAAACTTTTAGAACAGAAGAGGAAATGTCCCATGAAGGGATGTGGGCTAAAAATTAGGCTGAACTCGTCTGAGCGAGTCCTTGAGGCTGGGAGTTTACCACATGATTGTGGTCCTCTCCTTTGGCCTTGGGCAGTGCCAATTCCGCCATCTCCTTCTTCTCCCACTCTCGCTTCTTCTGTTTGAGAGCCCCTTGCTCTCTGTCGTACTGGTTGAGCTGGTAAATTTCTGCTAGTACGCCCATGTCTCCCAGAAGCTCTGCCCTGTGCAGGCTAGTGTGTTGGAAGAAGCTCTCATCTAGGAAGGTGTCAATGGTTTCTTCTGGGTTGTGGGGGAACTGGTTGTAGCATGCTGAGGCATAGAGTTTTTGCCAATACTCAGGTGTGCTGATGCCGTTACAACTGTAGATGTACAGTTCCTCCCCTTCAATAGTGAATTGGATGTACTTTGCATCTGCAAATGTTCCATTGTGCTGCCTCACACTGATGTTGGAGAATCCCATGTTAGGCGTCCACAGGAGTCCTGGGAAATCGTCCCAAAACTCTCTTCTGATAGCTCCGGTGGTGGACTCAGAGTCAGTATCCACATTGTGGATTGAATGTGCTGGCAACTCAGCACGTGCTCCCTCTCTTGTCTCTATTATCTCTACCTCCGGCGTCCCCTCCTCCACCCTACTCGTTGTTGCTCTGACCTGGTCAGAGCTGATGTCACTCGGGTAGTGGAGCTCTGAAACCTTGGGTATACTCTCCTCGAGTGTTAAGGACTTGGGACCTATTGCGCTAACTTATGGACTTTCAGTACCTTGGAGAAGGCACGTGACAGTATTGGGAGCATGTGCTTTACTAGGATCAAGAGCTAGTTTGGCGTAACACCCTAGCAAAGGACTGGAGCGACCCGTGGGAAAGCTCCTACTGTATTTGGTATATGGCCTCGTATCTGCCTCTCATGTAATCAGGTATGGCTCTGACTCAGATATTGGGATCGCTGACTGGATACCTACTGTATGCTTACTGATTGATGACTGAGGGCTGATGAATCAGCTTACTAGTCTCGCTTATTGATGCTGACTAGTTGTATTAGGATTGGGAATAGCTTAGTAAGGATGCTTACTACTGATACTTGGGTTTAGTCAGTGTAGTAGTGCCCACCTGTATATAAGCTGCTAAAGTATGATGGTGAAGCCCTACGCTTCACTTAAACGAAGGTTCCCTGTCTCCTCGAACTTTGGGCCTGATAAGCCAGCCAGTTTACCTGCAAGGCCAACAAGGTGCTCTGGGCACAAGACAAGTATTGCCTTTGTAGTGCCTTAGAACTTATCAATATCATTAAGAAGCAAGAGACCGCTGCGTAAAAGCCTGTAATCAAGGTGCACGTTATCACTTGAAGGCTTCAGCACTAACAAGAGTCAAAACCTTGACATCGAGGCTTACTAAGCAGCTCTCTTCTTCTTCATCTTCTTCTTGGATGCTTTTGGTAGCATCTGATAGTTCTTCACTGGGATCTGCCCTAGCACTGCTTGAGCTGCTGCCATGACTTGGTTGGCGTAGCAGGACTTGTAGAGGCAGTGGAGATGCCTGTGGTACTGACAGAAGAGTGTTGTCCTGAGGGACAGGTGAGCTCGCTCCTGACATTGTTGGCATTTGATAGGCCTGAAAAACAGGGGAGGAAAATTTGACAGAAGTGAGGACACTTGCAACAGAGGGATGCGAGGCAGAGGGGCCTGAGGTCTCAGAGCTGGCATGATCCGACATGTCGTCACTCTCTTTAAAGCAAATGACTTTTATTGCTTTGGGATTCTCTTTATGGAATTGGCTGATCAAGTCTTTTGCAAATACTTGGTCAGCGTCCTCCCATGTATTGTCAGCATCTGAGTATCCTTTCCACTTGAGGAGGTATTGTAGGTGTTTGCGCCTCCCTTTGTGCCTTGAGTCCAAAACCTTCTCCACTTCCCATTCCTCTTGTCCATCTACGAAATCTGGGGCTGGCTGTGGGAAATTAGCCCCATGAGCGTCTGTTGTTGGAGACTCAGCTGCCTCGTGGTAGAGTACCTCAGACAGACTCGGACAGACTCGAAGTAGTAATACATTTCCCTTTGTTGTTCGAGGACCCATTTTTGTCCCCTTCCTTTACTTCTTGTTTTTTATACTTCAACTGACCATTTCTTGTTGACTTTACTTGTAACCAGGACACTACTTATAGTACGGCAGAAAGTACAATAGGACCTCAGTCTTCTGTTCTTAAGACTGAGGTCAGTACACTATTAACTTATCCCACGCACATACCCTGTCACCGCTACTACAATGGACTCGATAGTCCAATGGTGAATACGAGGAACAGTACGAAGGTTACGATGAGGAAGGCAAGCATATACCCGTACGTCTTCCGGGAGTGGAGCAATAAGTCGAACCAAGGGCGACGAAGTATGCCCGACTTCGACTTGTAGCGAGAACGGCCTGGTATTGAGACAGAAGACTCAAGTTAGAGTCTTCAGGTAACTAGGTACAATGCGATAAATACTACAGTGGGGAGGCTATTCCCATAAAGCCTTATACAAACGATGGTTACGATCAATCAGAGGCATGGCGGTATCAAGACAGCTAACAGTAGGTTAGGGCATCAAGCCCTGGCAAGGTACAATCTCACTTGTATGGATCAGAAACGATGGGGAGTGGTACATAGGCATACAATGGGGCATAGCCGGTTCTGGAACTTACCGCGGTCCAGCGGACGCCAACCCATCCACTCTCGCGTGCCGGTGACATACCCCATACTTACTTGTGCTGTAGTCCGCATTCCCGCGCTACAGGTAGATCACCAATATATTAGTCTTCTGTTCTTAAGACTGAGTCTGCGTTCCCGCGCTACAGATTATGAGACCTGTGCATCTCTAAATTAGCATCCCCACAAAGCCAAAAGTCGACGCATACACACACCTTCCAATGGGTAGAAAAGGCTGCAATGCCCAGCCATCCCCTTTGCCACCATCTGAGAGTAACCAGCTGCAAACCCCGGGCCCTTTGAGCTCCTTGAAGTTTGCACCGCTCGCCGCACCCTCTGCACCGCAAAAAATGGCACCACCCCACTTCAGATCCGTCTCCCAGAGCCTAGTACTGCTGCCAAAGCATAAGCATGTGCCAGCGACTGTCATACCCCCGTTCAATGAAAACAGGATGGACTTCTTGCACTGGAGACACCGGATGAGGCTGGCACTCAGGACGCGAGGCCTATGGGAAGTCATGGATGGTTCCTATCTGGAGCCTGACCCACATGCTGACCTCGATGCACATGCTGACTGGCTGGAACAGGACGACGACGCACAACAGCAGATCTCTCTGAACCTAAAGGGTGAAGCCATGAGCTGCGTTTTGCTATGCGCAACCACCAAAGACTGCTGGGACAGCCTAATCGACTGCTACTAAGGCAAAGGAGAAAAACAAGTTGCACACCTAATGAGCAACCTCTACCGATGCAACTTGAGCGACTCCAAACTGCTGGAACCACAGCTCCACCACATGCTCTTGGCAGCCCAATCTCTCAATGTCCTCGGCTTCCCCATCGACGAGAAAACACTTGCATTCCAAATGGTCCTCACAATGCCCGACTCGATGGACATGCTGAAATGCCTCCTGTACCAGGTAAAGCCCACCGACATGAACACGAATCACGTCATGACGATGATCCTCAACGATGAGAAGCGTCGAGTTCGTGCTTCTGGCGAAACTGTGACTGGCTTCTTCGTGAAGGCTGCCAAAAAGGGCTCTGGCAAAGGGAAAAAAGACAAATTGGGCAAAAAGGACAAAAAGCGCTGTACGCACTGTAAACACATCGGCCACGAGAAGTCGGAGTGCCGAAAGTTGAAGAGGGAGGAGGAGGAGAAGGCCAAAGCTGCCACACCCTCAACTGCCAAAATAGCGGAAGTCCCTGATGATACCAGCAACACCTCAACAGCAAAGGCCAATTTAGCCTACACTGGTGCACCAATAATTGACATCACTTGCCTTTATCTTGTGTCCGTAAACCCAAACACCATCCCTTGTGACACGAGCGGGAGCCAACCTGAACGTGCGTTAAAAACTCAGGCTGAACTAAGCAAGGGGAACGTCAGAAACAAATGGATCATTGACTCCGGAGCGTCACGTACCATGTGCTCACGCCGCGATTGGTTCATACACTTCCAACCCCTACAGCCTCCTGTCAACATCATTCTCAGTGACGAAAGCACCATCCCCGCTACAGGCATCAGCCGCATCCTCATTCACATGTGGGCCAAAGGTGAATGGACACACACTGTTTTCCAGAACGTGCTCTTCATGCCGAACCTACACGGTAACCTGCTGTCTGTCCCCCATCTCGTGGACCATGGTGCGGAAGTCCACTTCAAGGAGAAGTACTGTTGTGTGTACAATCAACATGGCCAACTCACCTGCGAAGGCCAACGTGGCAAAACACTATACATAATGGACATAGAAGTCCCATGTCCTGAAACCGCCCACGTGACGCAATAGTAATGGGTTGGATAGTCAGACTAGATCATTGCAAAATCAACACATGTTGAGTCCCCATTGCTGGGGATTTTTTGACTAGACTGAGGCTAAAAAGGTATGTCAAGGCCAGAGAATTAATTAATTTTGAGAATGACTTATAATTGTAAATTAATTTTAATTTTAATTTTTTAAATTGAAGAAAAATTCAAAAAAAAAATTACAAAAATTGTTTAAAATTTTAAGATTTTTTTTCACAGAATTAAAAAATTGTTTTTAAACATAAGATAAGATAAGAATATTTTAAAAGACACTAAAATTTTACATTATTTTTATAGTTTTACAGTATAATGGCCAGAACAGGGTTTGAACCCAAGACCTTCTAAATATACTTGATACTCTACCACTGAGCCATCTAGTCTTAAGTATACCTACTACATTACTCTTACTTGTGTTGTTGTAGCTCAAGCTAGTATACTTTGAAAAGTATGTAATAGCAAATCAGAAAAAATACCTAAAATTACAAAAATATTTGGACAGGTAGATCTGACTAAATTCTAGGGAGTTACATAAGATGGCTTGGCAGTTTTATTAGGCAGTTTGGCTGGAATCAGAGATTAGCCAATAAGTTGAAGTTGAGTTAATCTTCATTTCTAGCTGAATAGCCTGATAAAACTACCAAGTTCTTTTAAGTAACCCTTCAGCTTTAATTTAGATCTGTTCATGTAAATATTCTCTTAAATCTAGGTATTGTTTTCAATTTGTTATCACATGTTTCTCAATGTAACTAACTAGAGTTACAGTAATACTATAGCCTTGTTATAATCTGTCTCTAAAACTTGTTGCTATCTATCTTTTTTCTTTTCACTTCTGTTCTCTTTTATTAATCTATCATTAATTTATTATTTTTTGGACTTCTTATCTATCCATTCCTGCACTTCTTCACTTGCTACCATCATTTACTTTTACTTAGCTTTGTGACTTGACTTGAAGTTACTATCTTGCTTTATGGTATTTATTATTGTTCTCTTTTTACTTACTACCCTGACTTGGCCCAGAGCTCTTAAGGCTATTTGCTAGCTATTCTTACTTATTTACAAAGTGTGCTAGATAGACTACAATATATATAAACTCTTCTTATTAATAGTTGGGCCTTAAACCTAACTTAGAATCAATCTTGTGACTTTCTGGTCATTGGTATATTAGTAAGAAAACCACTAGATATACTTTGACCTAAGAACTCTGGTAATGACCTTCTGAGGAATAAGATTACTTTAATTGACAACTTAGACCTTTGCACAGACCACATTTACTTTGTACATCAATTTGACTTTGCTTTGCAACTATCTACTGAGTAGAGAGACCAGCCTTTATTAAATTGAGATAAACTAGTACTGCTTAAGCATATCTAGAACCCAACTTGCCAATATCTGGCTATTGTACCTGCAGGAGCATAACACTTGTACTGAGTATCTCAAGAAATATATAATAACAAATCTAAATAATTACATAAAGGCACAATGTATTTGTGGAGATAGATATGACCAAAGGCTAGAGTTACACAAGATAGCTTGGTAGGTTTATCAGGCTATTCTACCAGAATTTGAAATTAATATTCTATAAACTTCTTCATATTTTGAGAAGTTCTTAGCCAGTTATAAGTTATTGTTGTTTCTTAGGATGTTATTTAGATCTCTTTCTTTCTCTGAGCAACTAGAATATAATAGTTGTTAAGGACTGGGGACTTATTGCGTTTTCACTCGCTGACATTCTGCGGACTGACTACGTACGAGGCATTCAGTTGCCTCTGGTTTCGAAACGTCTATGAGCGGCGCGGCCGCGACTCTGTGTCTCAAGGTCTCAATACGGTACTAGTATCCCACAGTGTACGATTACTAAGGCTGACTGAGTGATGACTGAGATTGCTGACTGATTGTCCATAAAACCAAGTAAACCAACCGTTAGTTCTGACTGATTGCTTACGAGTTCGGTTATGAATCCAACTAGCTACTGTACTATTACTGACTGATCGCTTACTAGTTGGATTACTGTACAAGTACGACGACTGTACCGGTTTGTAAGCGATTACAAACCGAACCTGTATATAAGCCTAGTAGGCAGAGTAGGACGAGCTCTAAGCTCGACTTAATCAACTTCTACTCGCATATTCCTGTCTAAGCAAGCACCTACAAGAGAGTGGACCTTCTCGCCTCTACCCTCTTACGTTGCGTTCAGGTTAACATCTGAGCAGAACCGAAGCTTAGTACTTGTGCTATAACAAGTAACACTCACGTGCTTGAAGGCGTTGCAACGGCAAGTCGGACTTGTGCAACAAAGTTTATATCAGGGGTACGCCAACCTTGACATAAGTCGAGCTTACAACTTTCAAGCTGGAGGGTTCAACCTATAAGCCGGGTTGGACAGGAGACTACGCAGGATCTAGCAGCAGCAGTGAAGAGTCAAACCGGCGTTACAATCACTACAGCTACTCATATCAAAGTCTCGAGTGCGTAACATACGCGCAAGTTCTCAAAGGAGAAGCGGTCCGCCTGTACCGAGGGAGTCACGAATTCGTCCACAAGTCCGAGAGAGAGCACGCCCTGCTACACTATTACTTTTGCAGAGTTCATTACTGCAAGTACCACAACTAAGTAGCCAAGATGTTCAAATCAAAGAGCAAGAAAGGCAAAGGCCGAGAAGTGGACGACAAGTTACCTAAAGAAATCGAGGTAGAGTTTCCTCAAAATCCAGAACAGGGAGTGCCAGTCCGGGTACGACGCACGCCGGATTTGCCAGAACAGATAGTAGGGAAAGCGCGGTGGAATCAGGCTGAACACGCGCGCAGAAGTTCGTACCTACTGAAGATCAACGACAAGTGGTGGCCGATAGAGTTGTCAACAAGAGTTGGTATTACCTTACGTGGCACGAGAAGACAGACGCATATTGGGTGTCAAGTGAAGACAAGATCAATAGCCCAGCGTTATTGGGATTAGGAACTCCCAGTGCTCCATACCGAGTTAGAGGGGACGAAGTCAAATCAGAAGACGAAGCCCCTGCCACCGAAGAACCCGTTGAATCAAAGGGTCCACATCAGACCCAGATACTCCTATAGCGACAAGAGAAGAGGCGCAAGTAGTAGAAGAGCTTTCTACTCGCCTCGAACGAACAAGTGTCGGACCTGTGCCATTTTGGACAGACGAGTCGCTAGCAGAACAGGAGGACTTAGCAGACAAATACCCACCTGCCCTAACACACGAGCAACTTCAAAGATTCGAAGAAGACTTCGACGAGATGACTACGCAAACCCAGATCGCTTATGCCGCCACTCAAACAGGAACCGTCGCAGGACCCTCAGCGACAACCCTGGCTCAATTAATCGGGGGAGGACTGGGATCACTCCCGTCCTCAATTCCACCGTTCCAAGGAGGGGGACCAGCACCATTAGCAGGAGGACTGCAGCACGCGGGACGCCGACTGGACCGTCAGGGCCACCAGGGGGGCCACCACCTGGAGGACAACCCCCAGGAGGGCCACCCCCGGAGGCCAACCCCCAGGAGGACCACCAGGAGGAGGGCAACCCCCAGGAGGGCCGCCAGGAGGACCCCCACCGGGGGGCAACCCGCAGGACAGCCAGCTCAGGTGGCGCCACAAGGAGGGCGACTCATGGGGGAACCCCCCGAATTCTTTAATGGGAACGTAGCGAACACTGAAAAGTTCATTCACCAGTTTAACGTATACCAATGGATGAATCGGAACCACGCCAGCATTTTAGACCCGCTGTCGCGGATCGCGGTGTTCGTTAACCTCATTCGGGGGCCAGACGTCGAAGACTGGGGGAGACAAGCCCTACAGCGAACAGATGAACGCGTACGCAATGGAATGGCTCCAACCGATGAACAGCTATGGCACGAACTGTCACGAGAATTCCAAGCCCAATTCAAGGACCCAGCCCTGCGAGAAAATGCGTTGATGAAATTGAACAAGTTGCAAATGACATCAGACTTGGCCGTAGACGACTATATCGCCAAGTTCAATGTGTTGTTGTCGGAGTTACGATGGCACCGACAGTCGGAAGGAGCAGTCAGCGCTTTCAAAGCGGGACTCAGAACCTGGCTGGTCAACAAGATCATGGATCGAGACCTAGCTCCAAATGACGACGATTTGGCAGGATGGCAAGCGGCCGCTCAAATTGAAGCCACTAAGAACATGAGGAAGCGTCAGCAAGGAGGTCGCTATGCTAAAGGGAACCTCACCGTGCGTGAAAACCTCTTTAACGAGTTCATGCAGCAGAGAGGGCGCGGCAAGAAGGCAAACGGCAGACGGGAAAGGGACCCTGACGCCATGGATGTGGATACTATTGAAACCAACGCCGTCAAGAAGCCCAGATTTGGCAACCTCACCGCGGAAGAGCGGAAGAAACTTTCGGCCGAAGGACGTTGTTTTCTTTGTAAAAGACAAGGACACATGGCCCGCGCATGTCCTAATCGACCAAGACCGCTCAAGTATCCAAGACAAGTGCTGCGCCCCGAAAGAATAAGAAGCCCAAAAGATTAGGGCCACGGCTCCCGAGAGCGGAGAAGAAGACAGTAGCTCTGAGGAAGAAGACACCTCCTCTAGTAGTAGCGACGAATCTGTCAAGAGTAAGAAGGATCAGAAGGACCTGGCCACGAAGATCAGCAGACTATCAGCTGAAGAACAAGGAGCTCTTATGGAGAAGATCATGATGCAAGACTTCAAGAAGTCCAAGAGTTCGAAGACCAGATTACGAATCATCCAGACCCAATCCAAGTTACGGACGATGATGGCCCCGTCACGTTTTCATCGGCAAGAGTATGCCTCGAAGAACAAGCACTGATTGACAGCGGGGCCATGGAGAACTTCATCGATGAAGGGACCTGGGAAAGATTCAAAATTGGGCGAAAACCTTAGACAAGCCAGCTAAGGTCTACAATGTCGATGGAACGGAAAACAAGAAAGGAGAGATGACGCACTATTGTCATCTACGAGTCAAATACGGGGAACAAGACGTAGTACAACGGTTCTATCTCACGAACCTAGGCGGTGATCGAATCATTATCGGATATCCTTTCCTCGCGAAGTTTAATCCAAAGATGACTGGAAGACGGGAACTTTCCAAGACAGGAACGATTCATCTCGAAAGCTCCATGTACAAGTACATCCCAGGAGTATGGAGAGACTCAAAAGGATAGCCATCACGCGGTAGGGCGCCCGGGAAATGGAGAAGCGATCTTCATGAGAAAGATATCACTCTCCCAACAGATGGCGCACGAACATGAAGCTAAGAAAGGACAAACCCGTTCAAAATCCCTCCGCAATTCCGAAAATATAAAAAGGTGTTTTCAGAAGAGGAGCTAAGCGGTTTCCCCCCGAAGAGGACAGTTTAATGTTTCCATTCGACTG